CTTGATTACGGATCAGGTACTAGTATTCTACTTATCATTTACGGATCAGGTACTAGTAGATGGCGCAGAGCTTGATTACGGATCAGGTACTAGTAGATGAGTGGGAAAAATATGAAGATTTCTTAGTTAGTACTTTTTGTGATAGGCTTCAGCTGGAATCAAGTAGACGGAGTCAGCTGGAGTAGCATAAAGTAGATAGTGTCCTTTTCTGTGGTTGTGGGTTTATTTGGTGTACCGGTAGTACCCCATTGGGAATAAACCAGTGCACACAACTATAGAACTTCTGAGCACTCACTGGAGGCGTTGCACAGGGCTCCGGCCTGCCTTCGAAGGTGCGACCTCTGGGGCTGAGAGGACCACGACAGCGCCGGCGCTTCGTTATTAGTAGAGAAGTACTCGCTTGACATTGACTTTCCTTCTTTCGGTTTTTGTTTTTTCCAGTTAGGTCTGCTCCACCAACACTTTATCAGCTGGAATCAAGTAGACGAAAAACCGAACGAGACAGGCGACATGCGAATAGGTAGGCCTTTCCCTTTGCGATGACCAGGACCTCCCCTTGCAGTGACCCGGACAAGTGTTGCGCAAGCGCACCTTTCTCTTTTCCTCCTGTAAGTAGTAAGAGACATGGGTACAACAACTGTACGGCACTGAAGAATTTTCTTAAATTAAACAACAGAGGACACCCTCCAATTTCTTTTCTCAAAGTAAACAACTACAGTCCAACAGTCACACGACCGCAGACACACCCAACAAATTCAATCACAGTTTATACAGATTCCACCAAAACCAGTTATCTAAACTTATACAAGTTATCTTTTCAACATCCAGTAAACTATGTCATTTTCAACGTCATCTTATCACAATCTTCTTCTTTGTACACTCTTCTTGTCGCTATCTTGTAGAATTCTCACTCAACTAAAACTATATAGTCTTTTCTTCACAACCAATTACAGTTTTCGCACTCTACTATCTCGATCCTTGTTTCTTCGTACACCAGATCAAGGATGGTCACTGAATCTCCGGATCTCTTCAGACAAGGCTATGAAGTTAGATCATTGACTCCCATGTTGAGCAACTTTTTGTTGTGCTTTTTAGAGCGCTTACCGACATTTTCGACCGGAGTAACAGGTGTTCATTCTACTAATGAAAGAACAAGATTCCAGACGCAACATTTCCTCTCGGATAGTTGCTGTCCTCACATTTTACTGGTGTCTCTTGTTCGCCTGTAGTTCAACTGTCGACCTGAGGTCTGTCTTGTGCTGAGAGATCTCGTAGTTCCACACAGGCCCTTAGCCTTTCTGTCAAGGTGATCCCACGTTCTTTTCAGACCCTTGGAGGACATGTTACTTTCACTTCCCCAGCGCTTACCGACATTTTCGACTCGGTCTGTAGTCGGTAACCATTGTGAGTCCAAGTTTGAATAGTACTGCACGACGCCGGGAGGTTGTTCGTTTTGAGCCCGAAACGAGTGCTGTTTATATTGCTTATAAATCATTCGGTAAATTGCATCTGTTCCTACATTAACATACGTTGAAGAGAGATGTAGTTGCAGAGAGAGGAGTGACAATTCTGAGTGCCCGTGACTTCCCTGCCTGACACCCCTCCATCCCCCGCACCTACCCGTCATTCCTAGACTCTGGTAGAGCGGCAACTTGTAGAATCGTGGAAGAACCGCCCTCATTGTGACTTCGAGATTAAGTCAGGGTGGAGCATATGAATGGAAGTGATTGAGATTCCGCACGACGCAGTACAGCTTGAAAAGAAGTGCATCTCAGCGACACTATCTTCAAAACCAAACATGTAGGCTTCGGGAATATGAGTCATTTGCCATCAGAGCCTGCTGGCATCAACGAGGATGTTGTCTCACTCTGGTAAACGCCTATAAGATGGTAGTCGTAAACCAGTGGCCATTGTAGTCGTGGTCTGGAGGATCTTCAGGCAAGAAATCGTCCTAGTCGAGGACCACTTGTTCTACCACCACGACTTCAAACACCGAAGCAAGTTCTTCAACCGTAACAACCTCAACAACTAGAGCTACAAGATGCCGCCTCCAAACGCCTCTCAAAATGGCGGCGGCCTCAAGCACGCTGGCACCAAGAAGCTACCGCCCAATGTACATCCTGGGAATCAAGACATGTCCCCAACCACCATGGAAAAGAGAAAAAAGCGTCAACAGACGATGCTCGACGCAGAGCGCAATGATCCTGGTGCTCATGAGACGCTAGCGGTGATAGATCCTCAAGTGCTCTATGAGGAATTTGCAGTTGCAGTGGCGCAGAGTCAACTGGAAAATAGACAGAAGATGCCGCAGAAACGCGTAATGTGCGTTCCCTATTTGATGGCGAGCATTGTGAAAATGCAGTTGCTGACGAGGAGGTACTTAATAGTAATTAAGTAGCTGATGGCACAATAAGTAGGATAATATGCTTGTTTTCGAAGACCTTTATTTGTTTTGGATTTACTATGAGACAGATTAGGTGTTTCATCAACACATCATGATATCCATCATCTTCTTCATACTTCCAGTTTTTACACTGCAACTATTTCGTCCTCTCATCCTATCACAGTTTTCGCAGGATCTACCAACATCAACACAATCATACAACCTTTACAGGATTGTTTTCATGCGATCGTTTGGGCATCTCGTAAGTTCAGGAGACTTAATGGAGATCCCCCCTAGTGCCAACTGGGGTCTTGCACTCTACCTTGCGAGGAGGATGAGGTAGCTTTCTTAAGGTGATTGGTATTCCTTCTATGCGTCTGTTGCTCTACGTGTTGTAAGACTATAAGATCATCTCAAAATGAAATACAACACAGTCACAGGGACAACTTTTCCACCAGCATACATCTTGCTTACAGCTATCATTTTGAATGTGAGTATTTGAATTCCACCTTCGCAACACTCAACCATCAAAAATTCGGACCACCTTCGCATTCAAAAGGTCTGACCAGTTTATCGACTATGACCGTGAAGCCGTTTGTCTGGCTGGCGTTGTCTGCCTGAAAGAGGGAGATTTGTCGCTGTCTATCATGGACGACTTGGTTCCCTACTACCGAGCAAAGTGCATAAAGACAGAGATTCTTCCCATAAGCAGCCGCGCCTTGCACGATTCCAGTTTTCTGCATGGTGCAGAGGTGAAAGAGAACCACGACGACTCTTCAGGCAACACGGTCAAGGTCGTTCGGAAAAGCCGAGGCCTACAAATGTTAGAGGAGAAGCAAGCGCAGGTCGTAGCAGAGGCCTTTGACATCGCAATGCGGTATTACAAGGACAAGGAGCTTTTTTACCGGGAATTCTTTAGCGACCCGGATCGTCGAGTCTACAAACAATTAGGCATTCCGAATGACCACGAGGGGTCGTATCAGAAACGGAAGGAGATAGACGCAGGAGTGCTTGGAACTGTTGGAGGTGGCGCTGCTAGGAGAAGGAGTAGTAGTCATGGACAACAGAGGAGTTCAAGCCATCTTCCTCAAATAGAAGAAGATGGTGGAAGTGGTGCGGGAGACCGATTCGCAGCAATAGAAAATGGTCCAGTTAAGGCTCCCATCCCTATCCATCTCTACTATACTAGACTAATCCACCATCTCACTAGACAAGACATAGGCACCCCATCAATACAAGTGAGATTTTGACGCATATGCTTGCGGGATTTGCACAGGGATGACTAGGGGAGAGGTCTAATCCAGTTGCTGGCGGTAATGAATACGGTGATCTTGCTCCTACAGGAGAGGCGCAACAAGAAGTGGGAGGTGATGATGAATCTGGTGCAGCAGGTGCCGCGTTTTTGACGTCGGGACCACCAGGCGCAGATGAAGCAGTTGAAACAGGAGCTTCAGGTGTAGATACCCTTGAAGATGAGGAACCCACGACCGGTGGCCCTCCAGGAGGTCATGACAACTCAAATACTGCAGAAGCCCAGCAGCCTCTTCTAGAAGACACTGCACTTGCTACAGGAGTCGATGTGGACGCTAGTGCAGCACCTGTGGAGGGTCCTGCACTTGCTACAGGTGTCGGTGTGGACGCTAGTGCAGCACCTGTGGAGGGTCCTGCACTTGCTACAGGTGTCGGTGTGGACGCTAGTGCAGCACCTGTGGAGGGTCCTGCACTTGCTACAGGTGTCGGTGTGGACGCTAGTGCAGCACCTGTGGAGGGTCCTGGCGGTGTCCTAGTGGGCACAGGTGCAGCAGCCTCATCAACCTCACGGCAAGCGAGTCGAGAACTGCAATCCGCAAGTGCCGAGGCTGCTCCAGATGCAGGCGAGGTGGCAGCAGCTGCGGCAGCGGTTCCGAACGATGGGGCAGCGGCAGAGGCAGTACCAGTGGATGGATCAGCGCCTGCAGTTCTTGATGTTGGTGGGGGATCAGCACCTGCGGGTCCCGCAGATAGTGCAGAAGATGGCACTAGACCTGCAAGTCCGCCAGTAGTTGCGCAACAGCCAGAATCCTCTGCTGCTGCGATCGCGCCATCGACTGACGATAGAGCAGATCCGGGTGACGGCATCGTTGCTGAGGAAAGCTTGCAGATAGCCCAAGAAGGGGCTGAGAATCCTCCACCAATAGAGGAAGTAACATCAGGGGAAGGAGTTGTAGATGCTAGTGTAGAGGCGCAAGCGGGTTCCTCAGATGCTGTGGGAGGACAAGAGGGACCAGCACTGGATGAGATAAAAGCTGCTGAGGAGACAATAGAGCCTAGTGCGGTTGCCATAGTACAGGAGAACAGGACTGAAGCGGAAGGTCCACTCGCTGCTCAACTTTTAGCCAATTTCGACCGCGAAGCGGCGGACAAGACGCAAAAGGAACTCGAAGCTGCGCATGAAGGCGTGCGCGGTAACGACGTCAAGGCACGACAACAGGCGGCACGAAAACTAGCGAATCTAGAACAGCACGACCGAGCATTTAAGGAAGACGCTTTGGCTTTGAGCGAGTTGATGCAGTCGCACGCAGACGACTCGGATGAAGAGGCTATGAGACACGACCCAGGAAGGAAAAGAGAAGCGTTTTTAACGGGTGCGAAGGATATGGGTGCGAGTCCGAGGGCCATTCAACAACCGTTTTCGCCTGGGAGTGTGAACTATGGTATCGAGCTTGTCTCTTTGTCCTTTTATTTTTCAGCTTTTTTTGTGACGCATAGTAAACGCACAACTATTTGGAACTCATCCTTAAGACAAGTAAGCTTTTTTCCCCTCTACATTTTTGAGTAAACTTCTTTCATGCCAACAAACAATACAGCTGACGTGAGACCCGAACTATCTCCCGATGCCTCGCCTGGTGGCGAGACGCAGATGCTGTTACTGGCCAAGAAGGGCAACGAGGAGGCTGAAAACCAATTAGCAATTCATGGGCATACAACCGAGTTTGGCGAAATCGTAGCTCGTGATCAAGACGGCGGTTTACAGACTTTCGGCAACGATGATGGTCAACAAGGAGGACAGGTGCAACTCTACAATGTTGAAACCCCAACCGAAGAACACAAAGGCTGGGACACGAATGAGGGCAACCCTTACATCGTGGGTATGGGTCAATATGTGACCACGTATCCCGTACAGGGAGAGCTTTGCCTGTACGATGGTCGAGATTTAATTTAAGGCCTATCATGTGGTCCGGAACTCATCGTCAGGAGCATCTTCTTTGTCCCCCTTTTCTTCAATAAGGCAAGAAAATTGCGTGGTCAGAGATCATCTCTTCAAGATCTGATTTTGAGGTCGTAAGACCGTCTAATTAGTGGAACGCTATGAGCACCATAGGATACGGCAAGTCATCGACTACGTCGCTAGAAGGTATTTCAAGCAGCCAGAAAGGGAGAGGAAAGACCCAAGCTTTAAGGCTCCCGCTGAAGCATCCTCAATCTCATCCTTGCTTCTTTTTCTACTTGAAAAAGAAGTTCATCATCCTTCCAAGGTCGGATATGATTTTTTCTCTCAAAGAGGAAGATGCGAAGACGCGGTACTAGCAGCTCTAAAAACTCTTCTTACCATGAAGCATTCGGCAGTTTGGAGAAGATTTTAGCGGACCAGTTGGAACAGATCTATATGGACCTATGCAATCTGTTGAAGAAGATGTCCGACACCATCCCTGACATCATGAAGTGTGAGCAACACGCTTTCGCGAATTTCCGGATTAACAGGGTGTCGGACAGTCACTACGACGAGATAGTGGACAAATTGCATAGGGCTAGGTATTCTTGGAACAACCACATTGGACAAATTGCATAGTGGACAAATTGCATATAGAGTTACATTCTTGGAACAACAAAGACTTGTTTGTAACTTGTTGTACTTGTGACCACTATAACTCTAACTTGTTGATGTACTTGATGTGACTACTTGCTCGCCCCCTTATGATTTTCGAGTAGGCGTCGAGACTAACATTGATTCTTCAACAATGATATTTGTAGTTCCTCTCGAATAATTCGAATATCATCCAAGGTACAACAACTTTTTTGAACCTTCCTATACCAGGTACAACCTCTTCAAGCGCAAAGAGTATGAAATCGCCAACCAGTGGGAGAAGCCTTTTAGTGGACCGGTTTCTAAGTATCGGCCACAGAGCGTCAATTATGCAGAGGAGTTAGGCAATGACAACGAGTATGTGTTGGAATTCCGTGACGAAATGAGTCGCCTTTACGCCTGCCACGTAACGGAGTTTAGCAAAACAGCGAGAAGGAGATTGGCGAGAATAGACAACTTGATGGTGGGGAAAGCGAATGCGCCACAGGTACACTTAATTTAGAGGAGTTTGGGCGACCTGAATGCCAGGTCTCACGTTTTGTTCGACTCGCTTCTCTCTTAGAATATCACTTTGGACCCTCACTGTATATCTTTCTCCACCGTTGCCTCTGGCAGGTAAAATCCGTTCTCAAGTCTTTCGATGTTCGACGTCTGCAAGAGATCGAGGAGGGCAAAGAGGACATGCTAAACGGGATGGCATTGCTCGGTGATGGAGACCCCAACGTCTTAGCTTTTGGATCTGAGCTTCTCTCCCCAAGAACATTCCAGGACGCTTTTTATCCGTGTGCAGAGAGGCATCGAGAAGCTCTATTGCAGCAGGAAGTAAGGCATTTGACCACCGGTGAAATCTTTGAGTCTGCAGAACATCTGAACACACTTTTGAGTGCTTTGGAGAGACAGGCGCCCGCATTGGAGAGGTGGGTCAGAAAAACCCGTACGGAGATACCGGAGTTACGACATCTAGTGCCGAAACCTATTGCTCTGCACAAAGCGGAACTGTCGGCAACGGAAGCTACAGCAGGAATGCCATCGGGATATCAGAATTTGGAGTTGAAGCCAGTGGATGCTGCAGGCAGACAAGCGAAGGACGGATTTGGAGCTGGTCTGGGTGGGCATATGTTATGGCTGTTGTGAAAAGTTTGCAAGTTGAAGTTTGTCTAAAAACTTCTACGATGTAAATTACAACTTCTACGAATTGATGTCCACGGTGCTCGATGTGCAGGATCCATAGCCTATAACCTAATCTTTTGAGAAGTGAAGAAGTTGAAGTTCATTCATAGACAAACATCATAAGAACCTATAAAGATAACTATTAAAGCTCCTACAGACAGAGACTTTTCTGTCTGTGCGGCCGCAAAGAAACGTTCCCTCTCTAACCTTCGACCCCCGCAAGTGGAACGCCGAGTCCGGAGCCCCGCCGCAAAAGCCAGATTACACTGCCACTCTCGCTATGATGGAGGAGCTGGCAGACGGCGTGGACATGCCGCCCTTTCCGGGATCGAACTTTGTGCTGCTGAGAATCACTTTCCCAACCGCCGATGCGGAGATGGTTCATAAGGGGCCACCGGATATCTTGAAACGAAGATTTCAGAGAGTCTTTAATCAGGTACTTGATATTATGATTATATTATCTGGACATATAGCTTAATCTGGACATATTCAAAATAATAGGGACAATATCTTGATTATATTATCTGGACATATAATAGATTAATAGAATGGCATTTTTTTTATATCTCTCCTAGTTAGGACGTCGGCTCTACCATTATTAATTGGGAGGTGGTCCAATTCGCAATTATTGATGTCTTCAGAATGATAAGATTCATAGTTCTTTGGTGTGAAAAGTAGGTAACAAGTCATGTTGAGTTACAACATCAACGAACTATCTTCTACCAAGAATCACAAGAATGAAAACCCAAACACCTCCTTTGTCCATGATGAGGAAACAAACACGCAGGAGTAACCACTCGACACTACACAGGTCTGTTCCCGATTTGTCGAGTTGCGCGACTTGACTGTCGTCGGCTTTTCGTCCAACCCCTTGAGTGTGATTCTGAGGGTGGTGGAAACGGCGAAAGAAGCCGTGTTCGAGAAATTGCAGAACGATGTCTACGAAGCTCATTCAGACATGATGGTGAGTCCGGTGAACATGTTCCTAGTCAATGCTAGGGTCAGTGTGACCACGGAAGACGATGTTGTGTGGCTAGAGGGGGAGGCGGGACCGAAGGTACCTACATGAAGATCTGTTAATATGATATTTTTGTCCATTGGGTGAAGATGTTGATGTTCTCGTATTTGTATTTGGTGTTGTTGATTTCTTCTCGATTGGACAACCACGTTTGGGCGATTCATTTTTCTGCCACCGTTACAAACACGAACTAAATGCACCCACCATTACTTACGACCTCTTGCTAGCTAAATGAATGAATGAATGTCAACATTGTCACCCCTTACAGACCGTGAACGACCTCCGATCGCAAGCAGGGATGATGGGCACTGAGGAGGCGAAAACTAGTCAGCCCTTTGACGTTGCACAGAGGACCCTAACTGCGGTTGAAGCACCCGAAGACATGTCCAAAGCTTTAGTAGTATCGTCTGAAGGTAAGAAACCAACTGCTCCAAGACTTCCGGGAGTAGACGCGAGTACGCAGACGGAAGCGGTATAATACACTTGCTTTGATGGTTGTATTTTTCAAAATGTCGATGTTGTTGTTTGCTTTCTGGGAAGTTGTTGGCTATCGCTCTTAGTTATTTTCAATCTACAATTACAAAGAATCTTCTAACACGACAGGTTCGCATTTTCGCTATCGATGACCCGAAGCTGATGGAGATTCAACGTCTAGAACGGCTAGAAAAGCAAATCGAAGACAATCGAGACGCTCCAAAAATGAAGCCATTGAAGGACTTGCTGAACCCTAAGATGGATCAGGATAATTTCAGGACTGCTACGGGGTTGTTGATGCCTGATACGAACAAACAATTGGCGCAGATCGACAAGCAAATGCAAGAACGGTCGAGATTGAAGCTGCCGTTTATTATGCGTTTGAGGTCGAAATTGTTATCGTGAAATACTAGAGTTTGATTTGTTGTGATGAACATGAACTTCTCAGAATAGTACATGATGTGTATCGTCTGTGTACTTATAAAGCATCACACTCAGTTTTTTTTCACCAATCAGTTCTATGTTGAACGTCATTTTAAGTATTTAATAATCAGCATCAGGATCAACAAAGATGAAGTTGAAGAAAGCTCTAAGGGGCACGTCCAGTCCCTACTCGATGATATGGCCAAGCGGGACCCGCCTCCGGTAAAAGTCGAAGCGGTGGACTTGCCGACGAAAGAGGAGCTCCGGAATGGTGAGGTTTACTACACGTTGAATCAGCGCATCGAGGAGCGCGAACCCGGCACTCGTACCAGGTACCAGACGTTTGCGAATTACGACTTGTACAATAAGAATGCTCTCTTTGAAGAGGCAGGGCGGTTGAGGAAGCCGGCTTTGGGGAAGTTTCAGTGCACCTACAGTCCCGTGAAACAACCAGCGGCGTTGAAAGTCAGAGAAGAAATGCAGAAGAGTGGGGCATTGATGAGCGCGGGGAGTAGAATTCTTGGAGGTGGTGGTGGGAAGTAATTATAAGATTCTTGACTATCTAAGGTTCAACAACTTATAAGTTAAATGTCCCACTTCTCCGAAGACGAGGAAGACAAGGATTCTCCTTTTCTTCGGCTCGTTGTTGTACTTACTCTCTTCAGCTGCCTATGACGATCACCTTTTTGTTGCATCTGCAACTTTTGGAGCACAATGTTCGAGTTTTGAAGCACAATGTTCGAATTTATTATCCGCAACTTGTTTCATTGAAGTTGAAGCACATTTTACTGTCCTGTCCCTGAAATTGAATATGTTGAATCCGTAGCGAATCTGTGATCTTAAGTCAAGTTTTACAATTTCACGAGTCGCGATAGTGTGTAATTTGTTGTTGTCTGGCTGTTGTCTGGCCCACGCAAATGCCAAAACCTGGGTGATCTAGCGAACGCTGCCATCGATATGGAATCCCATGCCTTTCTTTCATGTAACTTTAATTCTTGCCTGTGTTCCACACAAGCACACACTAAATGATAAACATCCCTAGAAATAGCCTCTGTGATGGCGGAAATAGCCTCTGTTAAGGGGGAAATGGCTCCAGTAGGGTTCTGGGCTAAAAGCTGCGCAGGCAGAGGAGATAGTTGGCAACACTGGAAGCACGTTGCGCGTTTCCCATTTTTCTCGTTATTTTCTTGTGTGCAACCAAAATTTGATTCGGTTTTTGAGTCTGCACATGTTGAAGGTTGACCAAGGGAGAAACAAATATGAGAGAGCTATTGGATTCTGACAATAATGAAAATCAGTGCCATTCGGTCTACTCCCTGATGTCTGAAAAGTGACGTGGAGGGAATAGCCTCTGTGATGGGGGAAATAGGCTCTGAAAAGGAGGAAGGAGAAGCTTCTGTATAACGAGTGGGCCTCTGAAAAGGAGGAAAGAGAAGCTTCTGTATAACGAGTGGGCCTCGGAAAAGGAGGAAAGAGAAGAAGCTTCTGTAGAAGGAGTGGAGCGAAGGCATCAGTCCTATTTGAGCCGATATTTGGTGTTTATCACCAGATGTATGATAAAGGATCTCTGTCCAAATCCTGAGAACAATCTGACTTGTGATGTTCGCCCTTGAGTCTGATGTCAGTATGAGAATAATAGAGGGAATCATATGCGAATATACTCTATGCTCAAGGAGTTCTATCTGTCGTGTTTTGAGGCCTGGAAACGTCTGTCCCCATAGAGAGACTCACGTGAAGTATGCTACTTGTAAATCTTCATTTATAGTGGAAACTGCAATGGACAATTTTTACTTTACTTAGTTTCATGTTCACTCTCAGGATTTTCTTTTCTCGTTTTTAAAAAGAGATTTAATATTCTTTCTCTGTGCCCCATGTTCATCACTCGACGATGGTTTTAGTTCCCTACATTATAATGTCAAACAAAAACTCAGCTGTTGTTGGATGGTCCTTACATTCAAATTTTCTTTTAAAGAAGATTCGCTCAATGTCCATCATGGTTTTTCTTTAATGCCGTAGGTCGTTCATAGCGGTTGCCGTCGTGCTTAACCGTTTGCGTAGCTTTAGTGCCTGGCCGTCGTGCTTCAGGCTTCCCGCTTTGTGGTTGATGACCCTCTTTATTTTCTTGGTACTTAGACTAGAGTCTTGTTTCATCGTGATCAGTTGTTCTTCTGTGTTAGATGGTTGCCCATTGGTTTCGAATGGATGTCTTGGGTTAGAAGCAGAAAACTTTGAAAAAAAAACTGATGGAGCTTTTCTGTTTTAGTTCTAGACAGGTACTAGTGCTAGCTGCATTTCTGGCACAGCTGCATATAGATTTGCGAGCATGTAGTTTTGCCTGTATGATCATCGTTGTAGGCTGCTCCTCGGTTGTAGAGGCATTTTCTCCGGATCAAGTTTTTGTGGACCATGACGATGAGAAGATACCTGCTAGTTTGTTAGACCCCCTCGGTCCTCGCGAAGGTGATACCCCTGCTGAAGCTAAAAAAAGAGCTGCTTTTAAAGCCCTTGTAGATGCAGAAGAAGCGAAAGCCTGGCAGACGATCGAGGAACAATATGGCTCAATCTCAGCTTACATCGAACAGAAGG